ACCATTTCGAAGGAATTTTTCATGGAACTTGGAATGTATGATCCCGATTATAGCATTTGGGGAGGAGAAGACGTTGAGTGAGTTTAAATATTTTATGTACACATTTTTGTCAATGATGTTCTACCTATCAAACGTAATAGATTAAGTTTGAAGGTATGGCTTTGTGGCGGAGAAGTTGAGATTGTTCCTTGTTCACGTTTAGCTCATGTATATAGGAAACACAAGTACACGGTAAGTGCGAATCAGTTCCCTAATTTCTTTTTAATTTTTCTAACCCGATCTTCACATTTTAGAATCCTGGTAAGGGATATAGATGGAACACTAATCGTATGGCTGAAATCTGGCTTGATGACTATAAAAGATATTATTATCGTGCTACAAATTCTACTCCACGTTTCGGTGACGTTTCAAAACGAATTGAAATTAAAGAAAGGAATAAATGCAAACCATTCAAATGGTTTCTGGAGAATGTTTACAATATCCCTATACCTGACGAAATTAAGGATCCTTCAACATAAATAATTAGTATTCTTAAATTCTAAATTTGTGTTGTTTAATTTATTCATGTTCATTTGAAAATTATACGCAAATTAATGTTGAATAATTGTAATTTAAATATATTTTATCGGCAAGTAAAAAGTAGTATAATTAACTAACTAAACGTAGATCGAATCGTTCTGAAGATGACAGCATCGCTGTCGAAAATAGCTATTTAAGGTAAATTAAATGAAAAAGTGAAAAGTATAAAAGTGTTTCGTGTCTATATTCGTTTAGTTAGTTAATTGACTAATTGTCTTGTTCACAACTTTTTCCTCTTTATATTTTACCTTTAAGTATTTACTGTTCACTGCGAAGCTAAGAGCTTAAGATTGAAGTTTTTCTGGCAGGTAAGTTATATATATATACATTTTTGTGAGTAGGAAAAAACTTTCCAAGTTTCTGCATAACTCAAAGCCTTAAAAGAAAATCTTTTCTTTTTATATCGTTTTCTTTGCATATTTTATGTTGACTATGTCTATATGACGAAATATTATTGATTTTGATGTTAAGAAAGTTCATGAAAGTTCATCATAATTTAAGGGTTTCAATTCTATACGTCAAATACTTAATCTTTGACCTTAAATCAAACCCTTGAAAGTCCTTTCAAAATATTTTTAAGAAACTTTTGTTTAGAAAGTATCGGAATGATAAAAGAGTTTGAATAAGCAACCACAAAAAAAATTATTTAGGAGAAATTTGCTAATTATATTTCTTTGTCAGCAATCTTTCTATTATGAAAAGTTGGGATTTACGCTAATTGAACTTACAACACAGGCCAAAGACAACGTTTTCTCGAATATTAATCGACTGTCTAATGACTTTATTTATTAAGAGTAAGGACATTTCAAAAAGCAATCATCATTTGTGCTAGTTAAATATTTCTGGCCTTTGAACTCATGAGAATGAAGAAGTTATCAATCAATCTTAAAATTTCTAAGACTGCAATTGATTTTCAATTGGCTAATGTAGATTTTGCTGAATCATTTGTTATAATTAATTGGATATCATCCATAACATTTTTTTTGATTCGTTTCCTATTTGTTTAGTGATTTCTGTTTCTTGTAGTTATCTACATCATGTAAATGTAAGCTTGAAATATGGAAAAGAATCTAAATATGTAAATATTCAGGATGTAAAATCATGTTCAACACAAAAGTAATCGTTAACAATAAACATTGAAACTCATTTTAAACACAACATGAATAAATTTTCCACACATTTGACTTAGAAACAAACTTTTCAAGATAAACATTTGAAAATGTCAAAAGGAAATCTTTAAAAGAAGTTCCTGAAACAAACATTCGAAATATTCTCACTCAGTTGACGAGACGATGAGTGATTTATTGTTCTCTTTCTTTTGTGAACTTATTTTCAGGTCAACAAGTGAACTGCTGCTAAAAAATAAAATTCGCACTTTCTCACATTTGAAATGTTTATAAATAATTTTAATTTTACTCACATCGTCATCTCATAAGAGCAGCATTTAAAAATATGAATTTATGTTTATTTTTTTCGGTTTTCATTTCATAACTCACTGTGAGATTATTTATACGATTTTACAGTTGTTGTTGAGCTTTGTTAAGCGTGAAATTGGTTTTTAAATCCGATTTTATTTGTTAAATAAAGATTAACATGCAAATATTTATTTATGTTATTGCCTGGTAACGATAAACCATTAATAGCTCAATCAGTTCATTCATCCATTGATTATTTCACTTAACAAAATCAATAAAGCAAACTGATAAAGTTTCATAGTGTTACATGAAAAATTATTTCAATTTAATTACTGTAATGTGAATCAAATTTGTAAACCAAAATTCTGTTCCATTCGGAAAGTTATGAGAAACATTCGAACTAAAAATAAGTCTCCGCTTAAAAAGAATTTTTCATTCACGGCTGAAAAAATATTTCAATGCTTTACAGTCTCATCAATAACGTTCGTTGAAAAGAAACTGTCAAAATATCCGAAATGAATTGATTTCTTTCTCAATAGAAGCTTTCAAAGACTGATGAGTGCAAGTCATAATCATGAAGAACTTCAATCTTCGTTCAAATCTTTCTATTTTTTGTTATCGTCAACTCGTAATCTCTCATGATAAATCTAGGACTTTATGTTATCGATGGAATTAATATTTCTACTGATAACATCAGCAACTGTCACAGGTTAGAAAAAAATTCACACTTTAACTGAACAAATTTCGTTTTTATTCCATTAAAATCGGTAAAATTATCTTCAGAATGAAACTTTTGTTATTGAATAAATTGCAACCTTTTAATTTATTGCAAGTTGTTCGTTAATCCAAGGAAGATATTGCGTAATTCTAGTGTAGGCTGAAGGCGACCATTGACCGCAAGGTGCATGCATTGACAAAATTCCAGCCAAAACATCTGATCGTCGGTATGAAATCACGAAAGGATTTCCAATATCTCCTTGACATCCATTCGAACGTTCAACGTTATCTTCAGCACAGAATGTGTTAGTTGGATTCACTCCAAAGAATTGTAAGCATCTTGTGGCTCCAATTGTTCGCTGATATCCACGATATAAGAATTGAGTTGGACTAGAATCGCCAATATTTTGGAATCCAAAGCCTGGAACGAAACCTTCTTCGTTTTCGAAAGGCAACACAAGTGCTGGTGTGGTTGTTGGTGGAATGGCAACGTGATGAATTTCAGCTGTGGGAATAATTGGAGTCTGAAGACGAATTATGGCAATATCATTATTTCTATTAACTGCATCGTATTGTGGATGACTGGTAATTGCATTTGCTGCTCCTGAAACTGCGAGTTCACGCATTGCAGTTCTGTTTGAAGAACCTGCGTACACAGTCACTCTAGCAAAGCTGTTGATTTAAATAGAAATAAGATTGAGAGATTAAAAGGGAATCTGGGGAATATTTTCCATCTTTACCCAACAACGTTGACAGCAGAAGTCAGAACATGTCGCGTCGAAATAAGCGCTCCACCTCCAAAGAATCCTAAATTCTGTGCATTGAAGTATTGGATGAATACATAATAAGGAACAGGCGCTGATCTCACACTGTTAACCATAAAAGGTGCAAACTCTTCAAAAGCTAATGAGCTACTGCCCAATAATCCACAAAAAGCAATAAAAATTAAAAACTTCATTTTTCACTTCCGATCACGACGACAGTTCAACGAAAATTGACTGAAACTTTTCATTTGTTCAAGTCATATAAAGCGAATAATTTTGCTGAACATTTTTTTCGTTTGTCTATGATAAATTGATAAATTGATAAGATTTTATCTTAATTGTTTTGCCTCTGATTTCTTAATCGAATTCATTTAGTGTGACTCACATGTTTCATGATAAATCGCGATAAAAATGTGACAAATTAGAAAATTAAGTCAGCAGTTTGACGTGAAGAAATGGCTCAAAAAGGTTTTAAAAATATCAAAGTGAATCATAATCTTTATACTGATGTCTGGCTGCTGCATGGAAAGATAACTGGAACAATGGAAAGTGTTCATTGTTATCTCATACTAAAACTTACAAAGTAAAGATTGAAGTTATTTGTGTGGGTGTTGCCTATTATATAAATGTTACAAAATTATTATCTTACAACAAATATTTTAATACTTTTAAAGATAATAATTTTCCACGAAAAACTCTTTTGATCTTTACTTAACGAAACGCTGATAGTAATTTTACAAATTGTGATTAGATTAAAATCGATGAATTTTATTCATATAAAAAAAATTAAGCAACATTCTCAAATTTTACAATTAAATCTGTGTTTGTTCATTAATCCATGTTCTGTATGCGGACACTCTAGTGAAGAGTGCTGGTGCTGATGGTTGAGCAGCAATGCAGAAATCAATAGAAATAATGCCAACCAAAACTTCTTCACCTCGACGTAAAACGACAAATGGACCAGCAAGATCATCACTACAAACTTCTGACCTTAATCGTGTGTCTTCAGCACAGAATTGTTGAAGCAATGAATGGAATGGGAAGCGTGAATTGCACCTTGCAGGTGTCACGGCTCTCATGAATGCAGCTTGAAGATGTTCTGCTGAATTGGCAACACCAGGAACTCCACCAAAGCCTAAAGCTGTTCCTTGTTCATTATCGTATGGTAAGAATAAAACATTAAGTGGTGGTAATGCGATTGGGCGAACAAATCTATCGAAAACCAGATCAGCGGTAAGTGTAGCAATTCCAATGTCGTTCGTTCTTGGATTTCCTAGGTAGTTGGGATGTCGAACACGTGATTGCACTGCAACCTGTCTTTGAGTTGTTCTTGTTGATCCTCCAACCCAAACATTAAATATAGTGAATGCCGGATCGGCAACAAAACCTGATACGAGGATGTGGCGATGAGAGATGATTGCTCCACCTCCTTGACCACCGCCTGCTACAGTGCCATACAAGATACGAGCCATATAAGGAGCGTCTTGCCAGATTATTCCATTTCTGATTGCTTCTGTTGACTAATTATTAAAAATTAATTTGTTTTGAACAAAAGTGGTTTCATATTTCTTACCAAGGCAAACGCTGCAAGAACAAGAAAAATTATTTGAAACTTCATCGTCACTGCTTTCAATTCGATAGCGCAACTCGAAATGATCGTCTCAGAATTTATGAAGGAAAAAAGGTTCAAATAACGAACTTACTTAAGTTAAGGGAGAATTTTATTTAATTGAACTTAGTTGAAATCTTATCAATAAGATTAATATTATCACGAAACTTTGATAACAGATAAAACTTTTAATATCTTTTAATCTTTTTTGATTGAAAATTCTTTTTATTATTTAATAAATTTAAAATTGAATAAAGATTGAAAATATGAACATTTAATTCAAAAAATTCATAATCACACTGATGTCACTTGATTAATCCACGTTCTGTACGCAGACACTCTTGTGAAGAGAGCTGGCTCAGATGGAAAGGTAGCATCACAAAAATCAAGCGAAATAACGCCAACCAAAACTTCTTCACCACGGCGTAAAACGACAAATGGACCGCCGATATCACCGACACAAACTTCTGATCTCAAACGCGCGTCTTCAGCACAAAATTGTTGTGCCACTGAATGTTGGAAAAATGAATTGCACCTTGCAGGTGTCGTCGCTCTCATAAATGCAGCTTGAAGATGTTCTGTTGTATTGGCAACACCAGGAACTCCACCAAAGCCTAAAGCTGTTCCTTGTTCGTTATCGTATGGAATCATTGACGTTCCAAGAGGTGGTAATGCGATTGGCCGAACAAATCTATCGAAAACCAGATCAGCGTTAAGTGTAACGATTCCAATATCGTTAGTCAGAGGGAAAAGCGAGAAGTTGGGATGTCGAGCACGTGATTGAACTGCAACAGCTCTTTGAGTTGTTCTCGTTGATCCTCCAACCCAAACATTAGGTACAGTAAGTACCGGATCGGCAAACACACCAGTTATGAGAATGTGACGATGTGAAAAAATTGATCCACCTGCTTCAAGATTAGTTATTCCAAAACTAACAACGAAACGAGCCATATAAGGAGCGTCTTGCCAGATTTGTCCATTTCTAATTGCTTCAGTGCTCTAATTAAATGAATTTTTTTATTCACATATTATTCTATTTATAATGTCAACTTTTGATGTCTTACCAAAGCGGACGCTGTGAGGACAAGAAAAATTATGTGGAGCTTCATTTTTCCTTATTTCGATTGAATAGCTCAACTTCAAATATTCTTTCAAAGTTTCGTTCAAAAGTTTAAATATCAAAAATAAAGATTTCAAAGTCAGTTAAGATAACGTGGTAAGATAAAGTTTATGATAAAATTTCGCTAGATAAAAGATATGAAAATCTTATCAAATATATTTTTAAACAGGTTTTTGTTCGGTGACTAATCATCTTGTTTTATTTTGGAAAATTTATCATCTTTAGCTAGAGAAAGAAGTGCGAATCATTACACAATTTCTCGTTTTTGTAAGAATAATTTAAGTATTATCAATAAGATTAACGATCATCAAAATTTTGATAACAGATAAAACTTTTAATATCTTTTAATCTGTTTTGATTGAAAAATCTTTTTATTAGATATTTATTTAAGAAATTAAAGTTGAAGAAAGATTAAAAATATGCACATTTAATTCAAATATCAGAATCATACTGATGTCATTTGATTAATCCACGTTCTGTACGCAGAAACTCTTGTGAAGAGAGCTGGCTCAGATGTTGGAACAGCAATACAAAAAGGATCTGAAATAACGCCAACCAAAACTTCTTCACCACGACGTAAAACGACAAATGGACCGCCGATATCATTGAAACAAACTTCTGATCTCAAACGTGCGTCTTCAGCACAAAATTGTTGTGCCACTGAATGTTGAAAAAATGAATTGCACCTTGCAGGTGTCGTCGCTCTCATAAATGCAGCTTGAAGATGTTCTCTTGTGTTGGCAACACCAGGAGCTCCACCAAAACCTAAAACTGTTCCTTGTTCGTTATCGTATGGAATCATTGACGTTCCAAGAGGTGGTAATGCGATTGGGCGAACAAATCTATCGAAAACAAGATCAGCGGCTAGTGTAACGATTCCAATATCGTTAGTCAGAGGGAATAGACTGTAGTTGGGATGTTGAACACGTGATTGCACAGCAACAGCTCTTTGGGTTGTTCTTGTTGATCCTCCAACCCAAACATTAAATACAGGGGATACCGGACTGACAACAAAACCAGCTGCGAGAATGTGACGATGTGAAAAAATTGCTCCACCTCCTTCAAAATTATGTTCTCCAGTACCAAAAACGATACGAGCCATATAAGGTGCGTCTTGCCAGACTTGTCCATTTCTTATTGCTTCAGTGCTCTAATTAAATGGATTTGTTTACTCACATATTGTTCTACATATTTGTAATTGTGGGAATAGGATTACGAGGGGAAATATTCCGAGGGGTCTCTCGAGTCGGAGTTTCAGTTTGGATAGAGAATGAAAGGAAGCAGACGTGCTTCCAGATATTTAGGACGAAATATCGGTTCCCACACAAGTTGCATGAATTTCGTTCCATAAAAATAAATTTTCGATCTTCTAGATCAGACCTTTTGAACTTTTCCACCACCATTTCGCATATCTGTTGATTTTTTCAATAGTTGAGCGATTCTGTCGTCTGCCTTGTTAAGAAATGTAATTAAATATTCATCAAAGTTGTTCACTGTTGTTGATTTGTAAGGCAACATTTTTGCGTTTGAAATGTCGACACATTAAAATAAACTTCAATCTAAAATTAGGAATGAACAAGAAATGAATAGAAAGGGGGCAAATTTGCTTCATTGGCCTAAGTGTGTGTGCCATCGGATTTGTATCAGAATCGTATCGATTGACTAATCGGTACGATCCTGGTTCCATTCTCGGTGGTGGTCACTTGGGCTGAGGTTTTCAGAAGTTTAGATACTTCGCCCCTGTTTCACGCTACTGAAAGTGGAACCTTCATCATTCAAGTGATGAGACAAAGGGAGCGAAACAAGTTGGAATTTATATTCCTGTATACTTAATCGCTTTAGTGCACAGTCGTGCACTCCCTACTCTGATGATGATGATGAGAAATGAATAGATAAGATTATGTTCTCGGAATTTGGATCGAAGATAAGAATTTTCAGTTTTATGAGCTCACAAAATAATGAAGATAATTAGGTATTAAGTTGTTATAAATGTTTGACTATTGTTTTAATGTGTTTGATCACTGATAGAATTTTCATACTTTTTTAAACTTATTTGAAATATTTTTGATATTGGGAGTTTCTACTTGAATTTATGCAAAAATGAGATTTGATATGCCAAAATTATTTCACAATCTCTGCTTTTGTGCCGGTTTGTGTTTAATATTTTCTCTTATAACTTTCAACTACAATGATAATTTCGTAACAATACTCATAGAGATGCTCGTACATTTTTTCAATGATATNTTGACGTTCCAAGAGGTGGTAATGCGATTGGCCGAACAAATCTATCGAAAAGAAGATCAAGACTAAGGGTAACGATTCCAATATCGTTAGTCAGAGGGAATAGACTGTAGTTGGGATGTTGAACACGTGATTGCACAGCAACAGCTCTTTGGGTTGTTCTTGTTGATCCTCCAACCCAAACATTAAATACAGGGGATACCGGACTGACAACAAAACCAGCTGCGAGAATGTGACGATGTGAAAAAATTGCTCCACCTCCTTCAAAATTATGTTCTCCAGTACCAAAAACGATACGAGCCATATAAGGTGCGTCTTGCCAGACTTGTCCATTTCTTATTGCTTCAGTGCTCTAATTAAATGGATTTGTTTACTCACATATTGTTCTACATATTTGTAATGTCAACTCTTCATGTCTTACCAAAGCAAACGCTGTGAGAACAAGAAAAATTATGTGGAGCTTCATTTTTCTTTTTTTCTATTGAATAGCTCAACTCCAAATATTCTTTCAAAGTTTCGTTCAATAGCTTAAATATCAAAAATAAAGATTGCGAAGTCAGTTGTGGTTAAAATTAAGATTAAACTTATCATAAAATTTCGTTAAAAGATATGAAATATCAGATTTATTTTTAAGCAGGTTTTTATTCGGTGACTAATCATTTTGTATTATCTTGCGAGGAACCTCACATAATTTCTCATTTTTTTAAGAATAATTAAAGTTTTATCAATAAGATTAACGTTATCATGAAAAGTCATTGAAAAATTATATAATTATTTGAGATTTCATAATCTGTTGAGCTAGAAATAAGCAGGCTCGTGAGTCATCAAAAGTTTCTTCTTTCTTTGACAGTTCCAAGAAGTAACAAACATCAAATTGTTTCATAAAAAATCATATTGTCAAGAAAAACTTTCTCCTTTAAAACAGACGACTCGAAATGATCTTTGTATCAAATTTGATTAAATTAAAAATTTGTCAAATCTGGAACAACAATCGAGAGTTTTCAGGAATATTCAATCAATCCTGTGGAACGCTACTGAAAGTGAAACCCTCATCATTCAAGTGATGAGACATGTGGGAGCGAAACAAGATGGAATTTATATTCCTATATTCTTAATCGTTCTAGGTAGTGTACTGTCGTGCACTCCTTTTTCTGATGATGCATAAACAATTAAAATGATCTGAATTCTATCTAACAATTTCAACATTTTCATTCTGATCATGATTATTTTTAAAAACAGCAATTGTTAACACTAAATACTCAACAACTGCAATGCCGAACGATCTTTTCAATCTTTATACATTTTCTTTCCGACCATGAATTTTTTTAAAAACAGCAAAAAGTGAGTAAGTTGATCTGCAAACATCAGAAAACGTTTTCATGTTAACACCAAACACCCCGAAAGCTGCAATTTTGAAGGATCTCTTCATTTTTTCCATAGCAACCAGCATGTTAGATCGGAATTTTTTGTTTTCTTCTGGCCAGTCCGAATGAAAAAGATTTTCCGACAACTTTTCAGACTTCAAAGTAATTTCATTTCCAAAGTAGCACGGCAAATAAATCTCAACCAACATCAGAATTAAATAACTAAAAAGTCTGATAAATTTCACAGGATCAGTAACCTTTAAATTTAAAAATATATTTAGAATAGTTTTTCGTGAAAGTTTTAAAATATCTACCTACTTACAAGAGAAAGAGAGAATGAAATTGTACATAAAATCAAAGTACTGAAAAATCCTTGCGCAAAAAATATAGTCGAGAAAGTTTCTTCAATCAATTCCACGCATTTACCGATTTTAATTCCGAATTCAATGCATTTCGACAATTCTTCGTTACTTGGAACTAGAAAATCTTCAAATTCAGTAATTTTGATTTTTTCCTTCTTGAGGGCTTGCAGGCGATCACATAAAATATCCAAAAACGCAATGACGTAACACATGAAAATTATTGGAATTAAATCAATGCAAATTGTAACTTGAGCCAATATGGTTGAGCCAATAATTTGATAAATTGCAGAAATCCAATAATTTAATCGATTGTTAATATCGTAAGGAAACCACATTTTGTATGGCAATTCATACATTGTATGGAAAGCTCCACAAATGCAACTGCAGAAGGCCAAAGTCATAAAAAGTTTTGTAATCTTGTCAACTTTCTTCAAATATTTCTTCAATTTTTCCGTTTTCGTGCAATAAGTCGAAAGATCTTCAATTATCGCCATTAGTTGTTTGATTTGCTTTATCTTGAAAGCAAAGTTTGATGTTTTGAAAAACAAACCAATACAAGTTGGCAAAAGTGTCATCAACAAAGCAAAATCTTCAAAATCTTCAAAAGTGAACAAGAAAACAAGCTGCAAATACGTGTCAAGTTCTATGAAGAACAAATGCATGACGATTCCTTTAATGTAAGTAAAAAATGTTGATCTTTCTTCAATCCATGTCCCAAAAGCCTTCAAAACACGCTTTGGGATGGAAAAAGGAAAAAATAATTCAAAATCCATAAACTATTTTAACTTTCTTAAATTGCGACTGAAATGTTTAAGAAGTAAACTGAAACTTAAGTCACTTTAGACTTTCACCGCATTGAATTTTAATATTTTTGATAATTAAAATTTAATACGTTTGTACATAGGTAGGGAGCTGAAGGAAATTTATTCTCAAGTCTATTAAATTTAATTCTATTTGATAAATAATAAATTTTGGGAAATTTTCTTCATAGAGTAGAAGTTGCTAATTCCGGCTGGTTTTAATACCGTTTTTTTCGGTATCTTAAAACCGTCTTTGGATTTTTCATGTGAAAATATGAAAATGTTTTCAACTTTTAGCTTTACATCTAGGCTTTATACTAAATTTAAAGCCTAGATGTAAAGATAAAAGTTGAAAACATTTTCTTATTTTCACATGAAAAATCCAAAGACGGTTTTAAGATACCGAAAAAAACGGTATTAAAACCAGCCGGAATTAGCAACTTCTACTCTATGTAATTAACGAACATTGATTAGATTTGTAATGAATCTGTAGGAAGCGAAGGTGGCTTTAAATATCAATTGCGTGAATTCTTTTAATAATTAATAATCAGTAACTTAAATGAAAATGCTGATGACAATTAAAATGAACACTTCAATGTGTGACTTGAAAATGCTTCATTAAAAATTAAAAAATCTTAGAATTTGGTTATTTGATTGTTCATTTCAATAATATTCTAACAAAATAATGAGATTTTCTTAGTTTTAATTGAAGGAAAATTCCTTCAAAGACCTGAAAATGAAGAGTCACTCAAATGATGAGACATGTGGAGCGAAACAAGATGGAATTTATATTCCTGTAATCTTAATCGCTTTAGTGTACAGTCGTGCACTTCCTTCTCCGATGATGATGATGATGATGATGATGATGATGACGATGATGAGCTTTGAAGAAACTTGCCTTATCAATCAAAGAACGTTACTTTATTCGATTGAAATCAGTTGTAATCTTATCGGAAAGATTAACTTTACCACAAAACTTTGATAAAAGATTTTTAATGTTTAGTGACTGCATAAAATATATTTTGAATTAAAATTCTCTTCACACAAAACTTTCAAAATGTTAACCTTTTCTTTATTTCAATGAAATCTTTATACAAGTGTCATTTGATTAATCCAAGCTCTAAAGGCAGATACTCTTGTGAAAAGTGCTGGTTGAGAAGGTTGAGCAGCAATGCAGAAATGATCAGAAATCAATCCAACCAATACTTCTCTTCCACGATCAAGAACAATGAAAGGACCACCAAGATCGTCGTTACAAACTTCTGACCTTAAACGAGAATCTTCTCCACAAAATTGTTGTGCTATTGTATGTTGTGGGAATCGAGTATTGCATGCTGTTGGTGGTGAAATTCTCAAAAAAGCAGCTTGAAGTTGTTCTGATGGTTGAACTCCACCGGGAACTCCACCAAAACCCAAAGCAGTCCCTTGTTGGTTATCATATGGAAGTATTTGGTTCATGATTGGTAGTCGGATTGGCCAAACGAAGTCATCGAAAACGAGGTCAGCGGTGAGTGTTACAATTCCAATGTCGTTCAGTCTAGGAGTTAATTGGTAGTTGGGATGTCTTAAACGAGTTTGCACTGCAACCATTCGTTGGCTTCCACGTGAAGTACTTCCAACCCAAGCAGTAAATGCAGTGAATGTTGGATTGACAACAAAACCAGATGTAAGGATGTGACGTTGTGAGAAAATCACTCCACCTCCTTGACCGGCTGGAGTGCTGTATTGAATACGAGCCATATAAGGAGCT